TGCGACTGTCGGACTTGGAATTCTTCCGACTAGTCGAGGGAAAATAATACGCGTGTCAATCGAACCAATGCGACTGTCGAACGTAGATGTACTGCGAATGGAAGAACGAGAATTATGTGAGTGCCACTCGAACGAAGACGACTCTTGGACTTAGAAGTACATAGCATAGTATTAGGAAGGTTATGCGAATGATTTGGGAACCAATGCGACTTTGTCAATTGGAAATATTCCGACTAGTCGAGGGAAAGATATAAGAGTGCCGCTTGAACCAATGCAACTGTCGTACCTAGAAATATTTCGACTAGCCCAGGAAAAGTTATGCTAGTAACTTGTGAGATTATCTGATTGACGTGCTGGGAAATATTACGAATAGTAGAGGGACAGTTATTCGAGTTAATTTTGAAACAATGCGACCACCGGTCTTGCAAACATTGTGACTAGTCGAATGAAGGTTATGCGAGTGCTTCCCGGACCAATACGATTGTCGGACTAGGTACTATTTCGGCTAATCAAGGGAATTATATGCGAGTGCTTCTCGTAGTTATGCGACTGTAGATCTTGAAAATATTCTGACTATTCTGGGAAAACATATACTAGTTAATCTGGATTCTAGCGGCTGACCGACTTGGAAATATTCCGACTAGTCGAGGGAAGGTTATGCTAGTACCTTACGAAACTGCGCCTGTGGGGAGAGTTTTAGAATACTTCCACAGTACACCCTGCAAGTCATAAGAGGCGACTAAAGGGACTGTGTGAATGGGCTTGTACGGCTATTTCTTTCTTTGTTCTTCTGTCATATCTCTTTCTATTCTTTCTCTCTTTCTAGCTTCCTTCCGTTCCTTTCCCTTACTTTGAGGAGCTTGCCTCCTACATATACTGCTTTGTAACCATGGACAGTATAACTAAATATATAAGCGGCCTTGAACGGACACCCACGCCACGACGGTGTCAGGTGGTGGTAGTGCATGCCACCGGCCGTCGTAAACCAGCAACTACCAGGAGTACGGGGTCGGCAACCGGGTCCGTGTGGCAAGCAACTCTTGATACTGCATCAGGAAGAGCACTATAGGTAGGTGACTATGCCTGCGGTGTACCTTATGCGCAAGGAAGGTTAGGAAAGAAGAAAGCCACTTGTTGGAGTGGCAGAGGGCTGCCAGGGTCGCAGAGAGCTCGCAGCGATCCGGCTTGAAATCACCTACCTTGGAGAGAACGCTGAATTGTGCGAGGGCCCTTATCTACTCATCATAGGAAAATGAGTTAAGGGTAGACATGGCCTGGTAAAACAAGGTTGTACCGGCAGAGATCACCTTGTCTCAAGTGAAGATGTGCAGGCTACTGGAACTCGCCACCTATCGTATCCTAGTAGCCGATAATGAGAGGAGAAAATCTACCAACATTGAAGGCTCTGTTTCACGAAATATGAAACGTTCCCATAATGATGTGCTAAAAATATTGGAAACTATAATGGAGTGGTTTCAAACTGGAGTAGGAGATCCTCACTCAACCAAGGAGGCCATGGCGTAGTTATAGGCAGAACTCAAGTCCTTGGAACTGCGAAATAGCTAATTCACGGATGAAGTTACCCGTCTCAAAAAAGATAAGAGGAAAGCACGAGTAAACCTCTTGGCTGAGAGGAGCCAAACAACGACTCCAGAAAAACAGCAGCTAATCGAGTCGGTGAGAATGATTACACAGGTCCATTGCATTATCCAACAACAACTGCATCAGCAGCAGCAGCAGCATCGGCTGCAGTTGACATCGGGTAGTGCAGCGACTGCGGCTGGTGTGCTACAACAAGGCCCCACATTCTGTGCTGAGTCAATCGACCACCTCCTAAACAGGTCAGTGTGAGGAAGGCACAAATCCCGAAGGAGAATTTTGTGGAGATTATAAGCCGCAAAAGGAAACGAGTCCAGTGGAGGGAAGCGAATGCACCCCCATGGCTTCATCAAAGGAGGGTGACTACGACCCACAACCATTGCGAAAGCAGGTGGTCCCCAGGAAAAGGGGAAGAGGAGGATTGACGCACATGGAAGAAAGAAGAGGAGGCAAAGGAAAAGGGAGGTCGCTGCATTTTCCCTATCCTGTGCCGAGGAGACGACGTACAGGGACACACTCCACCGGGCCAGGAAGAACATAAACATTAACAATTGGCATGCGGGTATTCTTCGCCGTCAATTTACGCCCGCAGCGGCCGTTTTTTCCTGAATTGCGCCGATATTTGGTTATTCAGAAAAACCAAAGTAAATCGAAAACAACTTCGTTTTTATGAACTATACTTTTTTTATTTTATACATAAATGTATACTGTATGATTATTTAACAAAAAAAAACGATATTTTTACAAGATCACAAAAATAAACGATTTTCGAAATTTTACAATGTATTCAAAAACAAAGCAAACGACTTAAACAAAACGCATACGTATATTTATACGCATTTAGTGGATTTATGGTGGTTGGCAGGTATTATCCCTAAATCTTGTAAATACGAATTTTTACGTGACCCGCGCTCCCGTGACAGAATGCAAAAAACATAAAAATACGTTTCGCTCATGCCAAGTGTTAAAGACCTAGGGATTGGCGGCATGTCGTGCAGGAAGGGCCTCACGGGTGCCTTCACCTGGCAGGTACGAGGCAAAGGGGCAAATGAGGAAGCTGACCGGGTGGCAGAGAGATTGAGGAATACCGTCCCGGGAGCAAGGGTTACTCGCCTTCTACGCACAAGCACCATGAAATTTGTAGGACAGAATACGGCTACAAACAAGACCGTCATCGGGAACGAGCTGATGGAGGTGCATTCCGGAACGGACCTCAACCTCATAAATGTAGGGGATGTAAGAATATGTAGGGGTAGATTAGGCGAGGCCACTGTCTCGGCTCAAGTGCCCATCATCCGGGCTGCCCTGGAAAAGGGCAGAATAAACGTGGATTGGACATGGGTGAGATTGCACGGACTCAGGCAACAATACCTCAGATGCCACCGGTGCCTGGCGCGAGGACATGTTGCTGTAGTGTGCCCGGCCACGAAGCATAGAACAGAGCTATGCTATATTTGTAGGAATCTGGACCACCTGGCCAAAACTTGCACGGATATACCTGAGTGTCCAGTTTGTGCAGACGCTGGTCGGAAGTCGACCAACCACCGTGCCGGTTCTTGGGGGTGCCCGGTAGTGCCTCCTAGAAAATGGTTAGACAAGATTTTCGGGAGGGCACCAAATGTTTGTCTTGAGAGAATCCAAGAAGACCCGCATAAGGTCGTTGAAAATACTGCAGCGAGGAGAGTGAGAGTGACCGAGAGGAGGGGAGTGCATGAAGACATGGAGGTTGAACAAAGTGAACCAAGCTCCTCAATAGGTGTAGAAGCAGCAGAGGGTCAATGGACAATGTCCTCTGCTATTCTACAGATAAATATAAACCATGCTCAACGTGCGTAGCACTTGCTAGCACAGCGCATACACGAAGACAGAGTGGAGATTGCGGTCATTGCGGAGACATATTGGGTTTCTCCTGGGGATGAGAGGTAGTTCTCGTCCCTAGGAGAGACATCGATCTCAGCGGTGCTTGTGGACGAATGTGAAAAGCCCTGTAGCATGGTGCGTCGGGGTCTTTTTTATGTAGCAGTTAAATGGAGGGACTCGCTGGAAGTTGCGGTCTACATTCCTCCCAGCGAGAACATTAAGATGTTTTGTAGAATCCTTGATGAGATCAAAGAGCTCTTAGCAACATTTCCCACCCAACCAGAGCTGGTGGGTGGCGACTCTAATGCCCGGTTCAGCAGATGAGTCCTGGGAGGCAGGAGTAACCGTTGGAGTGAGTTGCTCTGCGTCTGGGCGAACAGAATGAAACTGGTTCTGCTGAGCTGGGTTAGCTGTCCCACGTGTGTTCGACCACTGGGGTCGAGCGTTAGAGATCTAACGTGGTGCACGCCGACAGCTGGCGACCGTCTCTCGGACAGGACGGTGGATGATGCTGAGTTCCTGTCGGACCACCTGTATGTTAGATTTAGCTATAATCTCGAGGCCATGAGGTCTGAAATTCTCGCCCACAACATAAAAAGCTCCCTCGTTGGAAGGATAACTCCCTTAATTAGGACTACTTGGTTCCTGTCCTCATTTCAGGGAAGTGGACGGATGGAAAGATGTGCGGGGAGAATACGGCCAGTGCAGACTGCGCAGACAAACTTGTGAAGTGGGCACAGTCAATATTTAATCAAGCGTGCGACACGACCATATCCCATGTGAGGATACAAATGTTCTTACTGGTGGTCGGACGAATTAATGAACCTTTGGGCCGTTGCAAGGACCACAGTAAGAAACTTTCCAGAGCCTGGAAAAAGAAGAATATGGAGGAAATTGTGAGGTGCCTGGACTCCCGAAGCAACGCAAGGAGGGCACTGACTAGGGCCATTAAGGAAGCCAAGGAGAACTTCTGGAGGGACTTTTTGGAAACTGAGGAGGATGATCCATGGGGCAGAACTTACAAATTCGTCTTGGGGAACATTATTCTTTATGCCCCACCAGTAACTGAAACCCTGGAGGATGAGGTACTAGAGAATATACTCTCTGAACAATTCCCAGGAGGACCAGGAACTGATGAACAACAGGAACCTCCACTCTCAGAGATGACTATCTCTGCGGAGATGTTCTTGGCTCCTGTCAGGAGAGGAAAAGGATGGAAGGCTCCTGGACTGGATGGGATAACGGGTGTGGTTGTGCGTGCTGCGTCGACACACTATTGGAAATGGTGGGCGCAGTGCTCCTCCGCATGCTTGAGGAGTGGAAAGTTCCCGACAACGTGGAAGATAGAGAGGCTTGTCCTGATCAAAAAGAAAAGGGATGCGCCCTCAGACTCACCAGGATCATGTAGTCACATACGCGTGATTGGTGAATTGGGGAAACTATTCGAGCATATAGTTGTGGCCGGATCAACAGATACTTAGAGGAGATTAAGACCCTGGCGCCATCACAGTATGGATCTAGGATTGGCAGATCCACTGTAGATGCCATCTTCCATGCTAATAAATTTGTGTAAATATCGATGTGGGACAGGGAAGTGTTTATCCTGGTTATTCTGGATATCTGCAACGCTTTCAACCCCTTGCCGTGGGCCATTATGGTTAGGGCATTGGAGCGGTAAAACCTTTCAAGCTACCTGGTGCACATTACCAGGACTTACTTAGACAATCACGCTGTAACATATACAAACAGAAATGGACGCGCCATGGAAAGAGAGGCGTATTGTGGGGTTCCACAGGGTTCCGCTTTGTCCCTACGTTATTGAACATTGCCTATGACAGTGTCCTCCGAATTGCGATGCCAGGAGGCTCCCGTGTTGTCTACCTTGCGGATGACACGGTCTTCCTGTCATCGGAATGGAACCTATCTCAGACTATCATAAACGCTGAGCGTGGCTTGTACGTTTTGGTAGAGGAGATCGATGGGTTGGGTCTTAACGTGGAGCTGCAAATGCCGGAGACCGTGGCCTTCCTTGCCTCTGCCTTCTGCAAACGCAGAAATGTCCCGCCCCCTAAGATTTGCCTTAGTGGTGTTTGCGTACAAATTACTACAAGCGTTAAATACCTGGGCATAGAAATAGATTCAAAAATGTCGTTCTGGCCCCACTTCGATGCCCTAATCCCTAAAGCGGAGGGAGTCCTCTGGTCCATTAGGAGGCTACTTCTGGTCCTTCACGGACGGGGGTGATGAAGCGACGCTTCTACATCGGCGTGCTCCACTCGTGCTCCGTTACCTGTGTGGCGCCTGTGTGGTGGCGCGCCGTCGTGGGAGACATGAGAATAGTGCTGGCTGTTCGATGCCCCCAGAGAAAGGTGGCGATCCGGGTGTGTTGTTCCTATAGAACGATCTCCTTCCACACGGCTATGATGATAGCGGGGATTATCCCTCTCGCACATCTAGTACCCCGGTTGGCGGAGACGAATGCGGCTGTAAGAGACGCGGAGGAACCTGCTCCCTAGTTTAGTAAGGCTGTATTGGGTACTCCTGCCAGAAGGAGGGCAATAGAAGCGTGGAAGTATTGGGAACTTGTGCTCGTAGGAGCACCAGCAGCAACGAGAGTGCGTGCGAGGGCACGTATTGCTGAATATTTAGCTGAACGGATTGGTAGGCCGCTCTATATCGGAACGACATTTCACACCACACAACTGATGATTGAACATGTCTATTTCCCGGTGCACTATAATAAGATAAGGATGAGTCATTCCGCATGTTGTTTCCATTGCGGAGAGAATGGGAATACAGTTGAGCACAACCTGGTTGGCTGGCCGGCATGGGTGGATGCCAGGAATGAGCAGATCGGTGCGATTAAGGTAGGGCAGCTAACCCATCCCGTGATTGTCAGGGTCTCCCCTGTCCCGGAGAGATGGGCGGCCTTCCAGACCATCGCAGGGTGGATCATGCGTGCAATGGAGGACGCTGATAGACACAGGGAACGGACGCAAGAAGAAGGAAGTATGAGTGAGTGTGCGGGTGTGTATGTGGCCAGGTACGATAGGCCGCATAGAAGTGTAGCTCCTGTGCGGCGACCTCGTGCAAGGCTCTGAGCTGCTCAGGCGGTGCCTGGCTTACGTGTCGCTACTTTCTAGGTGTGAGTATGTGTCTACATACAGTGTGTGTATACGGGCGTGAATGATCCTGTTTAGGGCAAAATGGGGTGAGGATCGGGTCAATATGTACATATTTATGGTGTAATTGCGTCTCCGGGGGCTCGAGGGCCCCTGTCAAGTGTGCCAGATTTGTATGAATGGCGATGAAATGATGAGATCAAGGCGAATACAGGCCTAGCTCACCGAGGAGGGATACTGGGCGTATTTGTAATACGCTTATGCGCGACCCCGCCCACCCCCTCGCTCCTCAGGGTGTTAGTAATAAGGATCGGGAGGTTTTTGATTGGAAGGCGATCCGAATTCTCAGGCGTGTTAAATCCAACATTTCCCTGTGTATCGGGCTCTGTGTGTCTAAGCAGGATTTTCATCCTGACGAAACAAAAAAAAGTACTTTGCGTACCAATGCGTCTGTAGGACTTCGAAATATACACAATCGTAGCGTGAAAGTCATGGGAGTGACTCTCGGTCCAATGCGACTGTCGGTCTTGGAAATATCCCGACTAGTCCGTGATAAGTTTTGCGAAAGACTCTCGAATCAATGTGGCTGTCGGACTTGGAAATATTCCGACTAATCGAGAGAAAGTTAAGTAGGTGACACAAGAAACATTACATCTGTCTGAAATTACATTGTCGGATTGGGTACATTCCGTCATTTCGGGGGGAAGTTATGCAAGAAAGTTCTGAACCTAAGCGACTGTCGGAATTGGGAATATTCCCAGTGGTCGTGGGAAATTCGTGAGAGTGTGTATCGTACCAATGCGGAAGTCCCACTTGGAAATTTTCCGTATAGTCGAAAGAGAGTTATGCGAGTGTCGTGTGTACTAATGCGTCAGTTATACATGGAAATTTTCCGACTAGTCGAAGGAAAGTTATGCGAGTGTCATGAGAAACAACGTGGCTGTCGGACTTGGAAATATTCTGACAAGTCGAGAGAGTTATGTTAGGGTCTCCAAAACTAATCCAACGGTCGGAATTGAAAACTCCCGACAATAAGATGGATAGTTATGCAAGTGACTTGTGAAAAAATGCAACTGGCAATCATTGCAAATCTTTCGAATAGTCTAGGAAAGTTATGCGAGCACCTCTAACCACTGCGTGCTAACCACTGCGACTATCGGCCCTAGAAATATTCCGAATTGACGAGGGAAAGTTATAAAAGTGCCTCTAGAACCAATGCGACTGCCAAAATTAGAAATATTCTGATTGGTTGAGGGAAAGTTATGCGAGTGTCGCTTGAATCAATGCGATTGTCGGATATGCAAATATATCGTCTAGACGAGGGAAAGTTGCGCAATTGCCTCTCAAACCAATGCGACTTTCGGACTTGGAAATACTCCTAGTATTCGAGTGAAAATTATACGAGTATTTTTCCAACCAATGTGACTATCGGACTTGGAAATATTCCGTCTAGACATGGGAAAGTTATGCGAGTGATTTGTAACACAATGCGACTGTCTAACATGCAATGTTCCGTCTTGTCGACGCAAAAAAACGTCATGCGTGTGACTTGTGAATCAATTCGTCTGCCGGCCTTTGCAAATATTCCGATTAATCAAGGGAAAGGAAATAGAGTGCCTGTCGACACAATACGAATGTCGGACCTAGAAATATTCCGACATGTCGAGTGAAATTTATGCAAATGCCTCTTTAACCAATGCGACAGTCGATCCCAGAAATATTGCGGCTATACTAGAGAAAGTTAACAGAGTGCCTCCAGAACTGATGCGAATGGCGGAATTGGAAATATTTCCTCTAGTCGAGGAAAAGTTATTCGACTGACTTGTGAACCAATGCGACTATCGAAGTGGGAAATATGCCGACTAGAAAAGGGAAACTGCTAGTACCTCTCGAAACATTGCGAATGTCGAACCCGCAAATATTCCGATTATTCGAAAAAAATTATATGACTGCATCTCGAACCAGTGCGTCTGCCATACTTGTAAATATTCCGAAAAGACAATAGAAATTTATACGAGTTCTTCTCGAAACAATGGGATTTTCAATTATAGAAATATTAATACTATTCGAGCAAAAGTTCTGCGTATAGATTGTGATCCAATCTGACTATTGGACGTGTTAATATTCAGACCAGGCGAGAGAATGATACGCGAGTGCATTTCAGATCAATGTGATAATTGCATTTGGAAATATTCCGACTAACTGGGGGAAAATGTTAAGAATACATCTTGCACGAATTCAACTGTGAAGTCTTGGATTTGGAATAATATATATAATGATAAGAACAACGATAAAAGTAATAATAATAATAATAATTATAACAACAATACTAATATAAATAATAAAGATAACAATAATAACGATAATTACGATAATAAAGATTGTAACGATAATAACTATAATAACGATAATAACGATAATAACGGTAATGATAATATTGATAATTATAACGATAATAATAAAAAGAACGATAATAATGAAATTAACGATTATACCGATAATAACGAAAATAATAATTACATTAAAAATAATAACGATAATAACGACTATAATAATAATAATTACAATATCAATAATATCGATAATAATAATAATAACAATAATATCGGTAATGGCAATAATATCGATAATGAAGATAATAATAATAATAACGAAAATATTAATTATGACGAAAAGATGGTAAGAATATTAATAATGACGATTATAATAGTTATAATCATAAATTCAATAATAACGTTAATGAAGATAATAACGATTGTTACGATATTAACGATAATAACGTTAATAATGATAATAACTATAAATACGATTACAACGGTAGTAAAGTTAATCCCGACAATAATAACAATTATAAAAGTAGCAACCATAAAAACAATAATAATAATAATAATATTAATAATAAAATTGATAATAATAGTAACGATAATAACGATAATATCTATAATGAGGATTATAACGATAATAGCGATAACTATAATAATAAAAATATTAAAGATAATAACGATAACAATAATAATAACGACAATATCGATATTAATATTAATAACGATAACGGTTATAGCGATAATACCAATTATAACGATAATAATTATAATAATAAATATACTACTAATAATATCGAAAATATTAATAATATAAAAATAGTGATAAAAACGATAATAATGATAATAATTACTATAATAATAATAATAATAATAATAACGGCAATAATGGCGAAAATAACGTTCATAATGATAATAAAGATAATATAACGATAATATCGATAATATAGTTTATATCGATAATAATAACTGTAATAATAATAATAACGGTAGAAACGATAATAATGATAAAAGTGAAGAAAATAATTGTAGCAATAATATAATAATAACAATAATAACGATGATAAAGATAATAACGATTATATGATAATTACGATAATAACGATAAGAAAGATAACAATAATAATGATAATAATAATAGTAATAACGGTACTAATAAATTAAAGGATAATAGCGATAATAACGATAATAACGAATATAACGATAATAATAACGGTAATAATGACAATAATAATAATAATAATAATTATATCAACGATCCTAACAATAATAATAATGATAACAATAATAACATTCATAATGATAATAGCGATTGTAAAGACAATAACGGTATTAACAATTATAACGGTAAAAACTCTGACAAAAATAATAATTATAATAATAATAATAATAATAATACTAATAGTATTAGTAATATCAACGATAATAACGATGACAATAATAATAAAATAACATTGATGATATCGATAGTAATGATAAAAACGTAAAAATAGATAATAACGACAATAACTCTATAAATAATAATAATAATAATTATAGTATTAATAATAATAACGGAAATTACGATAATAACGATATTAACAGTTATAACGATAAAAACTTTAATAACGATAATATCTATAAAAGCGATAATAACCATAGTAACGTTAATAACGATTATAATAGTGATAATAATAATAATAATGATAATAACGATAATAAAGGTAATAGAGATTATAACGATCTTTTTTTGATGGTCCGAGAATGCCAATCCTTACACACTAACCTGAGGACCCCGCCCGCCAGAGGAACCCTTCACTATTCGGTTCCCCCATTAAGGTCCCTGGAGTATCGGGCTCACCTTTGGAATAGGCACTACCGACTAAACACATATCCATCCTAGTGGCATAGTGAAACCATCCCGGCACCGCCATGTGACATTACTTCGGGATGGCACCACAGGATCAGGTCCTTTTACGGGACCCTCCCTTCGGCTCTACGGGGTAGGAGTCTGGAGCAACGTTGGGGCAGGTCTATGGGCCCGCGCATCTCGTTCGTTTTTCTGCGCAATGAGACCTTGAAGTACCGGGCAACCTTGTTCCACACCGCCTGAGCTCAGAGCATTTTTTCGACAATGATGTCTGGCGAGATATTTCCGAGGACTTGCTCCATGGCGAGTAGTTCGACACTCCACCGGGCACATTTGAAGAATGTGTGGTGGGCGTCGCCGACGGTCGAGTCGCCATACGTGCAATTGCCGTCTGCACCCTTCCTAACTTTTGCGAGGTAGGAGCAGAAAAGGCCATGCCCTGACAAGATTTGGTTGAAGTAGAAGTTGACTTATCCCGCCTCCCGGTTTAGCCAGAAGTCTAGTCGACTAAAGATTCGGGCCGTCCATCTGCCCCTATGTTCCTGTTCACATCTTCTTTGCCAGTCCTCGATGCTGCTAAACCTGGCGATCCTTGATGCCTCCTGCTTCCACAGAACGGACATCTGCTAGTGGAAGAATTGTCTTTTCTTAGCTAGTAGATCGTTCGGGATTGTTCCCGCGAATACCAGCACCGTGGGCTCCGAGAACGTACGGTAGGGCACGCGATTGGGAAAGCGCCCCTCCACAGTATAGCAGCTATGCGCTTGCAATATTTCTCGTGTCGCAACACATCGGCACAGACTTCAGCG